TATCGCCTGATAGGAAACTTCTCGTACTATAAAAATATCAAAACAGCTTTGGGTGAGGAAATGGTTTTTGTAAGTTTTTTAGTCGTTCAAGTTGAAAGTTGAGTTGGCGAAAATTAGTACCTTCGACAGCTGCCTCTATTTACGTCTACTCGAAGTGCTAAAATCGCTTAAGCTGCTCCATACATTTGCAATAGGTTGAGCTAGAAGTCCCAGCGAGGGAATCCTCATAGGACGCTTTGGAACTAATTTCAAGAATTTCAAAGTTGGCAACCTTCACCTCGCCGATATTGGGCAGGCTCACGTCTGCCACCTGAAATTTTATGCTAATAGTTGAATGTTTCGCTAATGTGTTTTGTATGCTCTGATAGCAAATTTCGTGCTCTATAACACTGCAATGGAAATCTGTTTTCCATAGCTGTTTACTTTCTGTTAATTTCAGGTTATTAATACGGAATGTCAGGTCGATGAGAATCAGCATTCCCGACTTCTTCTCCCTACCGCTTTCCACGGAAGCTTCAAAGCCCCTGGAGCAGCTCAATAGATTCGCCATGGTTTGAGTAAAGGAGTAACAGATTAATATTAGGACGGCTCACAATTGATTTTGAGAAAAGCAAAACCGACAACGCTGACCTTGCAGACATCCGGTCGACCCATACCTCACGATTTTTTTTTGTTTTCCTGCTTAAATTTCAAGCACAGTATTTACAACACTATAAAAAACATACAATATGCAGTAAACTAGTCAATAATATATTCCCGAATGTTTCTTCCAACCTCCTCCCACCGATCAGCCACCTCAGTTACCGAGAAGGCATTGAAAAGCTGGCTGATCGGTGGGAGGAGGTTGTAAGAAACAATGGAGTATATTATTGACTAGTTTATTGTAAACATCTATATTTTTTATAGTGTTGTAAATATTGTGTTTGAAATTTAATCAGGAAAACAAAAAAAATCGTGAGGTATGGGTCGACCGGATGTCTGCAAGGTCAGCGTTGTCGGTTTTGCTTTTCTCAAAATCAATTGTGAGCCGTCCTAATATTAATCTGTTACTCAATGCTTTACTCAAACCATGGCGAATCTATTGAGCTGCTCTAGGAGCTTTGAAGCTTCCGTGGAAAGCGGTAGGGAGAAGAAGTCGGGAATGCTAATTCTCATCGACCTCACGTAATGATAACCTGAAATTAACAGAAAGTAAACAGCTCTGGAAAACAGATTTCCATTGCAGTGTTATAGAGCACGAAATTTGCTATCAGAACATGCAAAACATATCAGCGAACATTCAACTATTAGCATAAAATTTCAGGTGGAACAGACGTGAGCCTGCCCAATATCGGCGAGGTGAAGGTG